GCTTTGCCTGGGCTGGGGAGTCGGGCGGGTGGCGGAGGGAGGGAAGAAGGGCCTCGGAAACCATTCCCATAAGGGTGGCTAAATTAGACCAGGGGTTTTTTTTTGGTTTGTGTTTTTTTTTTTTTTTCCTTTCCTTTGGAAAGCAGCTTTTCTTCATGCGGGCCCGGAATTCTTGTGCTCTTTGCAGCCTCTTTGCTTGCAAAGTAACAAGCAACAACAGGTTGCTTTTCCTAGTTGCTTTCATCAGCAGGTGTTGATGAAACATTAGTTATGCTGGGTATGTTTCAGCCACACTATTTGCTGTTTTCAGAAACACAGTCTAGAGGTTTCTTTGTATGGAATTACTTCATTTCAGCGACTTCTTGGCTGCTTACCTCACCACTACGATTGTTTTCTTCCATTTAAATAAATGTGTTTCTGTGTTCTTATTTTGTTCTTCCTATTTTAAGGTTCAATAAAACATCTATGTGAAATATTATTTACTGTGTAGGATGTGTTTAAAATCATCACAGGTAGCGTACTGCTAAGTAAGTCCACGGGTTGCCTTTTGGTCTTATCGGTCCTTTTGTATTTTTTTCTCTTTAGTGATTTCTCTAAACTTAGCATGTGTGAAAAAAGTTGTGAATCCAGTAAAAGGCGAAGTGAATATTTTGGAAGTATGGTGTAAACTACAATTGTAAGAAATCACAAGTATATTTGATTAAGTTGGCAGGTTGGAAAGACACTGGCTTCTGCTGAACAGTGAGAGTTTTATCATAAATTTTTCTAGCTATGTTTACTGTGTCTTGAATTCATTGTGTTACAGAGGAAGTGCAGGCAGGGTGATAGCGCCATGTACTAATGCCAATCCCATTTCCCCAGACAAAGCTAAGAATTAGTTGGGAACAGAAGAGGACAAGACCAGGGAAGGAATTTTCCTATGAGATAATTGTATCATAGCTATTAGTAATAGAGTAGAGATCTAAGTAATTTGACCTTGACTTCTCTTGCAGTTTCTTTTGTGTAGAAAGATTGCCAAGCTCTCTCCCCTACTTTATTTTTCTTTGAGTTTATGAACTGTCCACATGGGCAG